CACTGGCTTCGGATTCCTTAGGAACTCCAAAGTTAAGAGAGATCGTAACGAGAGCAATCCTAGGATGGGTGACCCACTGGGAAGTTATGTGCTCGTGTGAGTTCTTAGAAACAAAACCGTGAGGGCATGGCTGGGCCTAAAATGAACAATATCGTGCTAAGGAGGAGGCGGAGCCCGGGATGTGGTGGACCCTAAAAATTAAGCGAGATTGCAGTGAGAACAATCCCAGGATAGGTGACCCACTGGGAAGTTCTGCTCGCGTGAGTTCCTAGAAACAAAACCGTGAATGCATGGTTGGGGCCTAAAGCGGACAATACCGGGATGTGACAATTTGGTATCAAAGCCAATCCCTGGCGGGATGTGTGCCGACGAGGACGTCGGGTCCCTAAGGGGGGTGGATTTTACATCCCACATCACCCAAGGGGAGTGGATCTACTAGCCTTATATGTATATTCCCATCTTTACTTAGCACGAGGGTTTTTGAGAGCTCATTGGCTTTGGATTCCTTAGGAACTCCGAAGTTAAACGAGATCACAGTGAGAGCAATCCCAGGATGGGTGACCCACTAGGAAGTTCTGCTCGTGTGAGTTCCCAGAAACAAAATCGGAAGGGCGTGGTTGGGGCCTAAAGCGGACAATATTGTGCTACGGCGGAAGTGGGGCTGAGATGTGAAAAGTCATCTCTCTGTTTTCAACTTCAATCGGCCTTAACGCCACAGCTTCATGATTCGATGATAGGTCTCTACCTTTTCCCAATCTCTGACTCATTCGCACTTTCTTGTATTTAGTTTGTCGGATCTAATGGTTTCTCGACTTGCAGGTGTTGAGAGGCAGCAGATCTTCAATATTGTCAACATCTTAGGCTTGGGACTTAGGATAGAAGGAAAATGAGTTGAAGAGGCTTTCAAGTTGGGAACGGAAATGGTTAATTAAGGAGGGTTGAGAAGATGAGGTTTGTGGCCTAGAGGTCGTTTTGGTGAATCGGTGATGTCGTTGAGGAGAGGAGTGGGAAAAGATGAACCGAGTGGGAGTCTGGAAGAGGAGGGAGAGACTAGGTCACTTGGAGAAACAAATCCAATCCAACGAGTGAGATTGGATGATTGTTGATCATTCCATTTTAGAAACGGGCCTGTTCGGGGCCCCATAATTCTAAAGATTTAGACCTACCTCACCCCTTAAATACCACCGCTCGCCCCGCTCGACCCATTTCTTTTATAAAAAAAATTAGACTCGCCCCATACCAGCCTCGACCCGTGGGTCCTTGACCCGTTTGCCCACCCCTACCCACAACCTCTCCCGCCCTTACCACTCCAACATAACCCAGCTGCCTAACAAAAATAAAAGCTTAACAACAACGATACAACCTATAGATTGACAATTTGTTGAATCTCAAGATGTGGTTTGGCGATGGTGTATTTAGTGCTTCCACTTCAACTTGAAATGGTTTTATTACAGGCACCATGACGCTTGTGAGACATTTGTCCCAGAGCCGCGCAAAAAATTTGAGGAAAATTAACTCAAACGTGAGCTGTTTCATAAATTTGTGGTTGTTTTGAAAATACAATTCACTTAGTTTTCTTCTATTTTCGATGAATGTAGGTCTGATTGTGATTATAGTTGGTGAGTATTGTGGGCCTCAATATTAGACATCATGTCATCATTCGGATGCATGGTCGTTGATGGAGAAATATCAAAAAAGAGTTTTTATCGCAAATGGTTCCTAAAATTGACCTACACCATTAAGATGGTCCCTAAAATTGAAAATTGATCAATATAGTTCTTGAAAATAGGTGTCGCAAATCAATGTAATCATTCAGTCACAATTCTGTAAACAATTCTGTTATGTGCTGATGTGGCACATAAACGGGGCCCATAAGTCGTTTTATCACAATTGACCCATATTATCAAAATGGTCCCTGAAATTGAAAATCGATTAATGTAGCCATAGAAATAGGTATCGCAAATCAATACGGTCATTCTGTCACAATTCTATAAAAAATTCTATTATGTGCTGAATCTAATTAAATTTATTTTAAATTAGAAATAGGTTTAATAATTTAATAATTAATTAAAAAAATTGTCAACCCAGAAACCTAGTCTCGCAATTACCTCTGATCCCAACCCACACTCTTCTACCTCCATGTATGGTAGACTTTGCAGTCTCTTCTCTGAAATTTTTTTTTTCTCAAGACACCCATCTTTACACCCCTTCATTGAATTAGACCATCATCGAGACCACCTTTTGGTGACAGCTTGGATTGGTGATGACTTCTGTGACATCACTGTTATCATTTGGGCGATCGACATCCTCACAACCATAATCTTGGAGAGCTTGTTGGGAGCTCCCTTGGTGATCTTGGTGACACGGAGAACGATGAGTTTTGCCATGAGATAATCCCATTATGCATAAAGGTATTTTGGCAACAAAATTTTTAACTGAAGGACCATATTGATTTGTGACACCTATTTTCAGGGACTACAATAATCGATTTTCAATTTCAAGGATCATCTTGATGGTGTGGGTCAATTTCAGGGACTATTTTTTATATAAAAAAACCATAAATCTTGTGGGTCCCATTTATATGCCACATCGGCATATAAGAAAAATTTTGACAGAATTATGAAGGAAATGACTACATTGATTTATGACACCTATTTTCAGAGACTACAGAGATCGATTCTCAATTTAAAGGACAATCTTGATGGTGTGGGTCAATTTCAAAGACATTTGTGATAAAAAAAAACTATCAGAAAATTATATACAAATAGAAGAAGTAACTCACTTCACGTGTTTGTCATAACAAAGTCGAAATAGAGAGTATATTTTACATCAAACAATTAAGGATTATGACATGGCTATCTGTTATAACGACAAATCAAAGAGAAAAGTTGTAGAAAATTGACAAACTTGAAAGTTGAGGCTTACATAAATGTAATGTCCTAAAGACTGAATTTCTTATATGCCTTTGTGCTTACAGTTCGATAGATGTTAGTCTTCCGTGGTCCAAGAATATATAATCTACTGTCGAAGCATCACAAACTTGGAACTTAGACATTTAGCTTTCGATGCCTCATCAACGTATACTTAAGACTCAAACCTTGTTAGTTTGAAAATTTTGATTCAAGTCCCTTATTTATTCCACCATGACAATTCATCTTAACAATATACAATAGAGAAATTTTATTTGGACCCAGTTATCTTATCTTTACACCCAACTAAAAAAATTTTTGTACTAAACTTTCAAGTTTGCCCTTAAATAAATAAGAATAAGAAAATAAAAGAAAATAAACATTGGTGTTTTTATCTCTTCACTCACTAACTCAAAAAAATGGCATACATCTCCACTCCTCCATTATTTCCTACGAAACACACCCAAATGACAACAAAATATTCTGCTGAGTTCATCAACAAGTAAGCTTGCCAGAAATCCTTGTTGCATGAAACCCTTAGCAAACCTCATTTATAATTTTAGCGGAAATTTCTTACCAATTCGTTGGACATGAAACAAATTCTGGCAATATGAGAAAAAAGCTTCATTGTCAGTCAGTATCTATTTAGAAGAGATAGCAACAAGGGTTTTGTATAATATGATCTATTCATCTTATTTATAAGATATCACTTGAATATTATGCTCTATTCCTCTTTATTTATTGTATAAGTAATTGTTGTTATTATTATTTTGCGTAAAGCGATATCATTAATTGGTTAAATAGTTAGTTGTTAGGGGAGAGATATCGGTAAGGATTGAACCCACATTTGAATGCGTAGGTATAATTATTGTTTGCCACAAAAATCATCCGCATTTTATAAGTAATTATTAACCTTATTAAAATAGGGCATACCATTACCATTTTTGATTGATAAAGAGAGTTCTCCTAAATATAGTAAAGTATAGATGCAAGTGGCAGATTGTTTGGTGGATTAAATTAGTTGAAATTACTCTTGAAACCACTACGTTATGGAATAAATTGATTGTGAACTTGTCATCCAAGAGATTCAAACTTAAGACACTCACTTACAAGTAGGGGTGGTTTGGTATGGGATCCTGAATCCCAAATCGAAAATTTTCGGGACGAGAATTTGAAGACTAATCCTGAACTGAAATTTTGGGATTCCTGAAATGTTTTTGGTATTTCAGAATGAATCAGGACTGGATTTTGGGCTTTTGGGCTGAAATTTGAGATTTTTATGCTGTGGCTAAAATTTGGGCTTTCGGCTTGAACTTTTGTTGCCCAATTTCATATCAATTGAAATTTAGGTTTTTCACCTCATACAAATTGAAATACCAATTCATTCATAACAAGTCAAATAGACGTTCTAAAGTTCCAAACAACTTAATTTCATACTTCTATTTCTAAATATAGTTTACTATCATACTACTGAAATTCAACATTCAACATGCATGCAACCAAAAGAAATATATATATATATATATTTTCGATTTGGTTCGGAATTCCCAAACAATTGAATATGCAATCTTGATTCCACTACCGAAGGGTTCAAGATCAGTTTGGTATAGATCTCGAAAATTTCGGTATTATCGATTTGGGAATTTTCGCTATCGGATATGGATTGTTTGGTTTGGTTTGGGACTTTGGGAAAAATTTCCAGCCCTACTTACAACAAGTGAACATAAATATTATTAAAACGTAGTACCATTTAACTTCTTTAGTGTAATTTTCATAAATATATTGCTTCTATTAAAAAAGATATATAGTATAAATAAAAATTCTAAATAAATTTGGCTAATTTAGGAATTTTCAATTATTTGGTTTTGTTCCCACTTAGTACTATGGTCTAGTAATATTCATTTTCAATTGTAAGTGAGACATTTTAGATTCGATTCACGCCAAAAACGAATTTGAACCACATTATTGCTAGCAGGCTAAGCTCACCATTCCTCTTAGTGTATATAATATTACACCCTTCCTCTTAGTGTATATAATATTACTCGTTCAAAAAAAAAAAAAAAAAGTATCTGGTTTTGTTTGAATAATGAAAAATTGAAAAATGTAACGGAGCGGGAGGCTTTTCATTTTTACTGGCAGGAACCGGGAAGAAACGGATGAGATTTTTTGTTTTGTTGTAAGCGGACGCCAAATCAAAATGCAATCACCTTAAATATTCACTTTTATTTTCCCTTTTGGTTCTCGGAGTTGGACGCCAATGGCGAGGATTAAGCACACTGCCCACAAAAAATCCGTCGCCAGAAAATCGTCAACTCCCAAAGAAGCTGCTGCTGGTACCCCTCTCTCTCGCTCTCTCTCTTCATGTATGGATTTTGTTGGATTTGTGTGCGCGGGTTGAGGATTTTGATTATTTCGTTTCCGAAACCCTAATTTTTGTTATTCTCTCCAGGTACTGGCGGAACCTCCGCGGCGTCGCCTGCAAAACAACCGGTATTCTCTTTCTCTTTCTCGCACTTCATTTCTTGTTGCCCAAACGGAGTTTTGCTTAGTGTTTTTATTTTCATGAAATCCTCTAATTTTCTCTGATTGGTTGCTAAAAAAAAGGCGGTAAATAAAATATGTATAAAAATTAAAAATACCATTAAAATATTTAAGCCACGCACTTAGTTTAGTGTTATATTATTGGTTTAGGTCTAATTTCCCATTAGTTCTCACCTTCTTGAGTTAAAATCCTAATAGTTAAGGCCCTTGAAACTTAAATCACTTATCCTTAATCCATTGAAGAAAAATTTCGTATCTGTAATTCTGACATTCCTAATTTATTTATTTTCAATAAATTGAAGGAACCATCTGCACCATGGAGGAGATCCGAGAGGAGTTCTCAGAGAAGTAAATATGTTTTTTCATTTTTTTTTTCTCATCTGTTTTCTGATTAGTTTGTTGCCAACAATGGTGGTGATATATGATAATGCTATAGTGGAAAGAAGTTGATTTTGAATGTCTGTTGTTGTTGCCTTATAGCTTCTGAATCTCAAGAGCAGCAGGAACCTGAGACGAATGCTCAAGCAAGTAAATATGTGTTTCTTCATGGTTTATTTATCTATTTTCCCATTTGTTTGACACTGGTGATGCTGGTGGTGATGATGATAATGGAAATGAAATGATTTTGAATGATTGTTGTTGTTACTTCTACAGCACCGCAATCAAAGAAGCAGAAGCAATCTGAGAGGAATCCTCAAAGTAAATTTTTGTTTCTTCATTGTTTATCTATACATCTTTCCATTGGTTTGACACTGATAGATTGTTGTGGTTATGATGGTAGTGGAAATGAGTTTATTTTGAATGTTTATTGTTATTACATCTGCAGCGCCTCAATCAAAGAAGCAGAAGCCATCTGAGAGGAATCATCCACCAACACAGAAGAAGAAATGGCGTTATAGGCCAGGAACCGTGGCTCTTCGGGAGATCAGATACTACCAGAAGACGTGGAATCTGATCATCCCCGCTGCTCCATTTATCAGAACCGTGAGTTCTTATCTCCCTTGTTGATGTATTGCACACTTGTACCCACATATGCATGTTTTTGTGCTCATGGATGTTTGATAGGTTTAGTGCTAGGAGTTATGCCTGTGCCAGCTAGTCGCACTTCTCTGTTCACAAATCAGAGAACCACTCATGATATTTATGTACTTGCCAATTTAACAAATTCGGTTCTCCTTGTGATGTATATTTGATTTTGCATTTTAAATTGTCTAGACAAGTTGCCCTTTACATCTTTTCAATCTCAGAGTTAAAGCTTTATTTGTGAACAAGAATGTGATTAGATTTCTGTTAACTTTTCGTGTGATGATAATATCTACTAGATTTCATGCGCTAGTTTTGCTAGTGAAATTTGTTGATTGATCACAAAATTCTGACACTGTTGTCCTTCATTATAGGTGAGAGAGATCAGCATCAATATGTCTAAAGATCCCGTACGTTGGACACCTGAAGCTTTACAAGCAATTCAAGAGGTGAATAAATGTTTTATTTGTTTCAAAGGAAATTTCACCTGGTAGTAGCAGAATTACCATGCAAATGTGAATATCTGCCTTCCAATTTCAGTGAGTTGTAGTATATTCTTGTAAGTTCTAATAAGCAGGCTTGATGAGCGATCCTGCGTAGGTATCATCGACGTCTAGGAAAGTACATTTGATGGTTCCTCAGCTGCTTATGCCATTTAGTTGTTCTCATTATCCCAAGCATGCCATGCAACCATAGGCCACTATAGCATTCCTCTAAAGCTTTTGTTGTGCCAGTGCATGAAGAAGTTAGTGTAGATTATTAGAAGGCAAACTAGTAACGCATACTGGTTTTTACCTTTGCAGGCAGCCGAGGATTTTTTAGTCCGCCTGTTTGAGGATTCGATGCTTTGTGCAATCCATGCCAGGCGTGTCACTCTTAGTAAGTAATTCTGGAATTTAATGTTTGCTTAATTAATTGTTATTCTCCAAATGCTATGTAAATTTACAACTTGACCCGGTTTCACTTGCCTGTGTGTCCCCAGTGAAGAAGGATTTAGAGCTAGCTCGACGGATTCGAGGGGAAGGGAGGTTCTGCTGAGAGCATGACAGTAGTAACTGGCTCCATAATCACTGATCTAACAATTTTAGAAAAGGACAGCATTCTTTTTTTCGGTCCGACAGTTGCCATCTTGCCACTTAGCATTGATTTTTTTTGTTGATTGATTCGTCTTTTGTTTGGCATAAATGTGATTTAAGTTGGATGTTGCTTCTGGGGAGGTTTTGCTGGGATCTTGTGTTGGTCGCGGTTATGCGTAAGTGCTGCGCATACGTTGGCGGATATTTCGATATCGAATAGATATTTACATATTGAAATAAAATATTTTGTATAAAAGTTAGATAATATATATACATATATATCATTATACTAAAAACAATCTATTCATCTAGTACATGGAAGAAAAAATCGATAATATCAGCGAAATATCGCCGATATTATCATTTTTTTGAAGATCCGATATTTTTTTAACTATCCAAATAATTTTCGTCAAAATATCAGGATATTATTGATAATATCGATAATATCACGATATTTTCGAAATTATCGATAATATCGTCACATAATACTAAAAAATACTTAAATATGTTGAGAAAACTCAACACATACTTCACTTGATCAAAGCCCAAAGGGCGAACAAGATATGGCTTACTGAGCAGGGGAATGTGGGTTTTATAGGACAAATTGCGAGGGCAGTGAGCAAGCATGGGCGATTTGGGACTCTCCCAATAGGAGAAAATCAGAATTTCGGCCGAAAATTTACACCCACTTTAAACGGCCATAACTTTGTCAAAACTCAACGAAATCAAGCAAGACAAAAACGAAAGTTGTAGCCCTCGAAGAGACGAAGAGAATGGTACCTCACACGACGTCTGAATCGTCGTGGTTTGGCCGGAAAATTCCTCGAAAGTCACTGAGATCGCCGGAAACTGGGTAAGATTCAAATGAGTATAACTTTTGTAATACTCAACGAAATTGAGTGAAACAAAAAGGAAAGTTGTACTACTCGACGAGACGAAGAGATTGATGCCTTGCAAGCCGGCCAACTCGCCTTGGTTTGGCCGGAAATTGCCTCGAAAGCCACTGAGGTCGCCGGAAATTGGGTAAGATTCAAATGAGTATAACTTTTTCAATACGCAACGAAATTGAGTGAAACAAAAAGGAAAGTTGTAGCCCTCGAAGAGACGACGAGAATGGTACCTCACACGACGTCTGACTCGTTGTGGTTTGGCCGGAAATTGCCTCGAAAGCCACTGAGGTCGCCGGAAACTGGGTAAGATTCAAATGAGTATAACTTTTTCAATACTCAACGAAATTGAGTGAAACAAAAAGGAAAGTTGTACTACTCGATGAGACGAAGAGATTGATACCTTGCATGCTGGCCAAAATTCAATTGACACACTCCTGGCTTCCAAAATTCAATTCTTTTACTTTATATAAAACTTGAAAAAACATAATCGGCATCCAAATTAAAGTTTAGTCTTATTCTTATGTGTAAGAAATTTAAAGTGTCAAATTCGGCACATTATTCTTCATCATTTTATTCACTTCCTTTTTTTTTTAATATCCTAAATAAAACCTCCAAATATTGTACTAATTAATTATATATAAATGATTATGGTGTGTTTAAACTTCTTTCATTAATTACTACATATTTTCTACACTCACAATGTTTGCCAGCTCGCTATATAATCAACTTAAATCAGTTAAATCCATCATGCAATGCATTTCCTTCCAATTTTTTGTGATAAACTAATAGATAATTGACTAAATAAACATCCTACAAAGTTTCATTAAAAATTTCCAAGTTTTTCTTACAATTTCCGTGGTTTCCATGTAATTTTTATCGATATCGATATTATCCCGATATTTCCATCGATATTTCCGTGTTTTCGGACTACCGATATTTCCGATATTTTCTTCCTTGATCTAGTGTAATATAAAACTCAAAAACGTGTATTAAATTACAAAAAACATATTGAAAATTGTGAATATTGGAGTTTTCTCCTTCATCCTACGATTTCATGGAATTATAGGCTGATATCCTCGACATTGACGGATTGTTGCTTAATTTTGCCGATATGAGTGAGTTTAGTCTTCAACCCCCTTTCTATATCTATCTTTTTTTATTTTTTGAAAGCTAGGAATTCACAATCCAAGGCTAAGAAGCCAAACAGGAACAAGAAAGCCTACCACGAGGCATACACCATGATAGACCAACCAAGAACAAGGCAATGAATGGGGATACAACCAACAGACACTTCAACCAAGTAAAGTGTCACCCCAAACACCACCATAGCTAAACTAATGAGGACACGGGAGACCATCATTACACAAGACATGAACTAATGAAGATGAAGGCCTATCGACCCACACAAAATCACACATCTTTGTAATACCAGCCGACGCAAGAGCATCTGCCGCCATGTTGGTTGATCTTGGCACCCAAGAGCAGCGACAATTCTGGAAAGCCCCACTCAGCTGAAGAACCCTTGCCAAGATAGGGTAAGCCTCCCAACTACCATTTTCGAGAGAACCACAAAGACGAGATCGCTTCAAGAGAATCCGATTGGATACACCACCGGCACCACCTATGTTTTGCTGTTATTGTTACTCACATGAGCTTCCTTGCTTATTGGGTTTTGTCACATTTCATTTAGGGGTTTGATTTTGCAGGGTATCATGTCTTGTTGGTTAAGGCGTAAATATAAACGGAAAACATCCCCATTCCACTTCCAGCAATCCGAAGAGTGTCCTTACACAGAATGACGAACCATTTGCCGGTCGAGTGAACCTTGGTTTCTGCCAGTGATCCATTCCAAGTACCTCTCCACAGCTTCCAGCCCACACAGCTCCTTCACAACCGGCATGGTAGCGGGGACATCCAACTGGAATATCGAAGCTGATCCATCTAAGCCGCCCCACTGGAGAAGCTGTTTTCTTGATTCTTTAATGGCAGCCCTTGTAGCACAGTGAACAGAAACCGCAAGAAGTAATGGTGGCTCACCAGAAGCTGCACAAATGATTTTCAATGTGTTTCACGACACTTTTCAAATTTGGCGATCTTTAAATTGAAACGTTTGTAATAAATTGAAAATTAAAAAAAATATGGCAAGCATATATTTTTCGACTTTCAAATTCTGCAATAACATAAAGTTTTCGACTTTTCAATTTTTGTAATAACATAATATCTCTGTTTTTTATCAAAATCCGCGTACTTTTATTTACACAAAAATCTTTTCTGGTATCAGTTGTATTTGAGATAAGTACAAGTGTGCAAGGCACGGCATGGTACTAACATAAAAGAGTTTCAGAAATATTTGAATGGCATACCTTTTGAAGAGAGCACACGCTTTTTGTGATGCCCGCTGTTCAATACTTCAACGTTGAACTGTTTGGGTATGGTGTCCATTGTAGGAATTTTATAAGTCCACGTACCTTCTGAAATCACCAACCCATCTGAGTTTTCCGAGTATTCTTCAAGCATGAAAAACCCAATACCTTGAACAAAAGCACCTTCGATCTGCAAGAAACATGTAATGTCAAACTTAATTAAACCACATCGACTACGAGCAAGTGAACTGGCTTTATGGATCTTAGCAGATTACAGAAAAGTTGAAAACTATGATTCTTATTCCAAAGACGACTAGATGATGAAAATGCTACAATGCCTTGAATAGACAGACCATAAAGACGCTAGATACCAAAGTCCCCTCTAGATCTTAATTCACAGAAAATCATTATAAAACTTCGAGTAGCATGTAAGTTTAATCATGCCAACCTGTCCTAAGTCCACAGCCGGGTTCAGACTCTGACCACAATCGTAGATAATATCTGATCGCAGAATTCTGGTTTCTCCAGTCAGGACATTTACCTCCACCTGTGATCAAGTAGTTTCATTGTTACTACTCTAGAAATTTTAACTGATAGTAATTGGTAGTACTCATCCTAATAGTGTGACTGTGACATTGCACTATGGCATTGCATCCATAAAAGGTTGTCGAAAATTCAACGGGCGCAAAAGAACTAAAATACACAAGAATAAAATGAAGACAGACTGTTAAACACAAACTTGCCTCACTCACAGCAGCGCCATAGTTAAGGTACTTCATGGAAGCAAAATCAGGGACATAGTAAGAACTTGCTGATAAGTTCACAGCTTCCAAGGATGCCTGCATTTTGACAGAATAATGATACACTGCAATGATGTATTTATGAATTTGGGAAAAATGCAATAAATTGATTGAATGTTTAAAAAGAAAAAGAGAGTGATGCAGTGTGTGAAGCGCCATGGCAGGGATTTGTAACAAATCAATAAGTTGATTAAATGTTTAAAAAGAAAAGAAGTCATGCAGCAATAATTTCAAGGCCATTGCTATTCATGCTTCCCTCAATCCTATGGGGGACTGCAAATAACATGCTATTATGGTAGCAGTCCAACAAAGGAGCACGGGTGTGCAAATAAGCCCTCCCTGAATCCAAGTAGAATACCTGCTGAATAAGAGTTTCCCAGTTAATAGAGCCCATTTGCTCCTTCAATCTCCCCTTGAGAGTAGCTAACCTCTCAACCAAAATATTACAGCAAAGTCTAACTGCCTCACAGCTTGCCTCAGATGTAGTGCTCCCGGAAGTAAATCCCCCTTGAATTAAGCTCAATGTATCAGATTGCACCACCCGTAGTTTATCCAAAAGGTCTCCACTACCATCACATTGAATTGAACCAAGAGCAAAAGCTGCCATCTGTTTTACCTTCGTCCAGAGCCCCTGACCCAGTTCAATTCCTCCAACTTCAACGACAACAGACCCATCACCTAAAATGCTTACTCTTGCTGGAGTTGGCCTCAGTGTCACTTCATGCAATATCGGTACTCGAGAAATTCCTCTTTTCTGCCATTTATTACACCTATTAAATTCTTTTACCATCTCAGTCCTTGGGTTAAAGCTTGAAGACATGGCCAACTTGTCCCATATCAATGGTAAAGTATACTCCAGAGGTTCACCAGCGCTGTGCTCATAAAACAAATCAAGGCTGTGAGAGGTGTGAAGATTAATGCTTCTCACAGAATCCACTTCTATAGAAAGGGTGGATGCTACATGTTCAATTACAGCTTCAGCAATAAAAGACCCCTGCACCTCCCCAGGGGCCCGCATAGCAGACCTACTCGGAGTGTTTGTTTTACACACCTTGAAATCGAAAGCTAGAGCACCCCAGTCATACTTCTTAAGTGCAGACAGAATATTGTTTGGCATTATTGGACTTATATCTAGGGAAATCCCTGCATTTATTAATATCTCAAGATCTAGAGCAGTAATCTTCCCATCAGACTTGAATCCCA